GGGGGGGCGGGACCCTTCCAGGACCCTTCGGCAGCCGGGTCTGAAAAAATAATCCCTTGCTCCCCGCGTCTCAGCGGGCACCGGGACGTGTCGGCGTCACTCCCGCGGTCCCAAGGGATGCCAACGAGCCAGACAAACTGCTCCAGCTTCCAGCGAGCGTCTGGTGTCCACCGGCCTCGTTCCTTCCCCCAGAGAGTGGGTGAATCGCCCCCTCCAGCCCTGTTTCCCTCCCCTTTCCTGTTGTTCCACCAGTAAGACCCAGCCGAGGGTTTGGCTTGGTGCAACCCAACACGCACAACCCCGCTGTGCTTCCCCGAAGGGCACCGAGATCTGCTCATCTCTGCTTCGAGATGAGCAGAAAACCGGGAGGGTCTTGTCTGAGGGTCAGCGGAGAATCCCTCGGCCAAACTTCAGGGTTGAAAACAATTTTTTGCGCTGGAACGAAGTGACCACAGCCAGGCACAGTTTAGCTGGGGGACCCATGGAGCCTCTTCAGCCAGAAGAGCTTGAACAATAGTTGTTGCTGGAGCTTTGATGTATTGTGATCATAAAAATAGTTCCAGGTTATGAGTCATAAAGGTTTCATCAGCCTGAGACTGCGGCCGGACCCAAGGGAAACTATAAACCCGGGACAATGTCAGCGAGTCGCTTCCTCTTTCCATTCCTATTATGCAGGTTCGGGTTTTTGATCTCTGGGCAGTGCTTTAACTACTTTAACACCGTGTTTCAGGCGAGCCTGCGTACACCCGAGCTGACCTGGGAGAGGGTGAGGTCCCAGGTGGACCATGTCATCTGGCCAGATGGGAAGAGGATAGTCCTTCTGGCAGAGGTGAGTGGCAGGCCAAGGAGCGGGAACTGCAGCCCGCTGCTTCTGGAGATGAAAATGGTTGGACTGGATGATCTTCAGGGGCTTTTCCAACCGAGATGATTCCGTGAAAACCAGGCCTGGGTGAGCTGAAGGGCGTCCAGAAATCACCTCCTGGGCCGCAGCAGCTCAGCGGTCGCTCGGTTGAAAGACTCGGTGTAACCCTGAGTTACTGGAACACAGAAAAGCTCCTGTGTTTTCCTTTACCCCGTGCCAGGGTACCCCCCGCGGGGTATTTGATCAAATTTTCACCTCTAAATTTGTTGAGTTATAAAGGCAACCAATACCTTGGGATCCAAGCGTGTGGGATAAGAGGTGTTTGATCCCCGCAGGGACGCCTTTCCCCGATGGTTCTTGTACCTTCTGTAGGGTTGTCAACTGGTTTTGGTGCCATGTTGAGATAACGACTGGTTTCTGCTTCCCAGGGCCGCCTGCTGAACCTGAGCTGCTCCACCGTCCCCACCTTTGTCCTGTCCATCACTGCCACCACGCAGGCGAGTAGGGCTTGGGCTGAGCCTAAAGCCACGTCGCGCTCCCCGGCGGGCAGCACTTACTTACCTGAGTGTCTTCTCCATCCAGGCTTTGGCTTTGATAGAGCTGTACAACGCTCCCGAAGGCCGCTACAAGCAAGACGTGTACTTGCTGCCTAAAAAAATGGGTAAAGACTCGCTGCCTTATTGTTTTTTGTCAGCTTTGAGATTGAACAGATGGGAGGTTTTGCTGGACGACAGGGCAGCGCAGCCTCCTGCGCTCTTCTGTTTGCTTCCCTGCCAAGCTCAGGCTCTTCCAGCAGGTTTTTCCCGCTGGGTCTGGGCTTTTTGCTGAATTGGATGTGTTGTTTCTCCACCCCACCCGGGGAAAACGGTGCTGACACACGTGGCCGACAGCAGGAGCCGGGCCGTGCTGGTGCGGGGGATTTTCACGTGGGGGCTTCTGCCAGCGGAGCTGCTTTCATTGGCTACAAAAACCCGTAGTCCCTGACCCCAGAGTCCTACCAGCAGAACTCCCTCCCGAGGAGACGAGCTAGACTGACCCCACTTTTGTGGCAAAACTGGCTTTTTTTTTTTTTTGGTGTTAATTGTGTTTTTGGAGACCAGGTGCAGCTTGTCCCAAGCGTTAGGTGTCACCTGCCAGAATGTCCAGCGGCTCAGAGCATCCAAGCTTGCCTGAGGGCAGCAGGAGGGGGGTTCAGAGAACACTTTTCCCCTCTCCAGGCAGATCAGAGCCTTGTTTTACCCCGTTCAGGGTGAAAAACAGCCCTGCAAGTGAGCATAAAGGTGTGAGGAGCGATGCCTTTCCCAGCTTTAGCGCAGCAGGAGGGGACTCGTTGCCTTCCCCCTGCTTGTACTAACAAGGCTTGAAATAATTTCAGACGAGTACGTGGCAAGCCTGCACCTCCCGACGTTCGACGCCCACCTGACAGAACTCACGGATGAACAAGCGAAATACCTGGGACTGAACAAGAACGGCCCTTTCAAACCAAACTACTACAGGTGCTGCTCCTCAAGCTCTTTTCTTCTGCCCCGAGCGTGGGGTACACTGGTGGGGCGGGTGGAGGGGACGGGGTTTAATCCCACCGGTCCACTGAGAAGATATCCTGATATTTTGGGGGTTTTGGATAATTCCCATCGTCACAGGGAAAGCAGCCGGGCCGGGAAGGGGCCAGCGCGGTCGGGGCCGTGACGCAGAGCGCTTGGCAGGACACGAGCCCTTTGTATCTGGCAGCAGCTGTCGCCCAGACGTGGCACGTGGCAGTGTGATGCCACCCGGCCAACTCAGCTTTATTTTTAAAGTTGGATGAAGGATGAGATGGCGCGGGGCAGCGCTCGCCCCCGGCGCCGCGGACTGCTCAGGCAGGCGCGGCTTGATCGCTCTCCTCCCCGAGTTTGGGCTGGGCTGATCCCCCCCAAAAAATAATAATTTTTAATATAAGCCCCTGGATCGCTTCCCTTTCCAGACTTCTGTTTGTACCCAACACCTCAGCGCATTTTTTTACCCTGAAAATGAAATGGCTTTGCACAGCGATCAGCTCATCGGGGCGGGGGGGTTGAAGCCCAGATCCTTTTCTTGCAGGAAAAGGCATTTCCTTGGCGTCAGGGTCTTTGGCGAGAGCAGCGCCGCACCAAAATGCTCCACTTCAGGGGGGGTTTCGGGGGTTTTGTCACTGAGAGGAGATCTCGGGGTGCACGGAGCCTCTTTTTCTGGATGCAATTAGACTTCATCCCTGTGCGGCTCACCAGCTCCTCTCTGCCCTTACGTCTGCCCTCGTTTGTGATACGAATTACCCGCTTTGAGTTCCCAGTCTAACGGGAGCCTTCCTGATAAACGCAGCCGGTTTGAGCCAGGCTTTGAGGTTTAAGGCATTTTGCTCGTGTGCTTTTGGTGCATCCACCCCGGTCTCTGAGCCAGGGTTGCTGCAAACCAGTGGGACTCAGTCCCTGAAGCCATCGGGCGCCGCTGAATTTTTCCCGTGCTGGCAGCGAGGGGCAGGCAGCTAAATATAACGTGGTATTTGTGGGGGAAGAGATGCGGACCGAGTCCGTTTCTAAACCGTTTCTTTTCTTGGTGTCTGCCTCTCCCAGAAGACACCGTGGTGATGCTGGGGGAGCTCCGCGCCTCTTCCCCTCACCAAAACCTCATTTTCTCTTCTTTTTCCCCCAGATACTAAGTTCCTGCCGCTGTATCCAGGAGAATTGCGAGGAACAAGAACCCAAGTCTTTTCTCAACTACTGTACAGGATGAAACAGCGCAAGCTTCCTAAGTTAGAGCCGGGCTTGCTCACATAGTAGACAGTGTGTTTAGGTTATTTATTTATTAAATTAGAATACTGTACATGCGGCCTCTGCCACTGGTGTTCGTACTGCCGCGGGACTGGGAGACGGTGGATTTCTTTCCGTTTGTTTAATTTTTCTCTTTGGGTTGTTCATTTCTTCGGGGCTGGGAGGATGGGGGAGGCGAGGAAGAAGCTGGTGGAATCGAAATCGCTGCAAAGCACCTGGAATCGTTACCAGCGTTCGCCCGACGCGCGACAGGAGCCGCGGGAGCCGACGTCGGGGTCGCACCTTCGTTGCTTTTGGTTTCCTTGGCGATCCCGGCGCCTCCTCCAGCGGAGCAGGATCCCGGCAGCCACGAGAGCCGGCCGGAGCGCGGCCGCCTTTGCATTCCTGACGCCATCTGACAACGCAGCTCAAAACCTCGTTTGCTCCGAGCAGCCGGGTGCCACCTCGGCAGCGGAGCGGCAAATCTCCCCGGCGATGGCCGGGGAAAGGTCTCGTCGTTCTGCTGAACTGCCCCAGGGTCCATTCCGCCAGCGAGTCGGTGAACTTGGCCTTCACGCTGCTGGAAGCTGTAGCGAAGGGTCCGGCCGTTGGTGCCAGCCGGGGGCAGCCCCCAGCGCGCGGCGGGAGCCGGGAGGGCAGAGCGTTGGGGGGGAGGACCCACCGCCGCTCCCTCCGTCGCAGCTCCGCGGTGTTTTCCTGCTGCTGATGTTTCCAGTGCCAACCTCCTACAGTTCAACCAAAGTCGTGTCCCCGGCGGGGCCGCAGGGCGGCCGAAGAGCCTTGCGGCCTCGCCCACAAATGCTGCTCACGTGTCGGGGAGCTCTTCCAAACCCAAGCGGAGCTCGTCGGCCATCCTGGCTGGGAGGACCCGTGTCCCCGCGAGGTCTTCCTCCAGCTGAATTTCAGTCCTCATCGGAAATCTTTGGAGTTTTATTTTCTAGTGATACTTGTATGATAAAATCCGGAAATCCCCTTGGAATGTATGAGACAGACGCCGGAGTAATCCCCACCCGGATTCTGTGCGCGGGGAAGAGTTCAGCGTCACTAAAACCCTTCAGTCACCTCAAATCTTGACCCGTCAGAGCCAACGGAGAACAAATTTGTCATAATTACTCTTTTTTTAGCCCAGGACATCCTGGCAGAACGCTGCAGATGGCACGGCACGTTTACCAAGGTGACTTTAGAAGTCTCCGTGTCTCATCGGAGTCACTTTTATGGTTCACACAGAGAACATGGTCCTTCTAAAAGAAAATTGCCCAACTCCCTGAGCTCAGAAGCCTTTATCCTGAGGGACCCGAGTCCCTCATCAACTACAGGTTCTTGTTTTATCCTCGCGGACCTCGTTGCCATCATGAAAAAACACTTTTGTGGCAGCTCGTTCACGCACAAGAAAGGAAAAACTGTGGAATTCCGGTCTCGGTGGCCAAGTCCTTCTCATGGCTCTTGATGCCAAGGTCTGAAGTCAGCTGGACCACAAGCTGCTTGTCTTTGGAGCAAACATCCTCGTACACTTGCATCTTCCATTTTCTCTCTGAAATTTCTCAAAGCCTAGAAGGAAGACCTTGAGGAGGCATTAGGGCTTCGAGGAGACTTTGAGGAGACTGATCACTAACCACAAACTCAAAATAATCTTCTACTCCCTCACAGGTTTTACCCAGATCCCGAGAGTTTTGGAAAGAATCCCCCAAGCTATTTGAAATGTCGCATTCGGGTCTTTTCCCGCGCCGGAGCACCTTGGTCTGCATCAACCAACAAACACCACCACCCCCTCACCCCACCCCCGAGTTTCTCCTCTTCTCTGCAGAGGCACAGCGTGAAATCCTGCTCTCGGTCAAGGTGAGACGCGGTCACGGGGTCACATTGAGCAGCAAAGCAGCTTCTGGAAAACACGTGTCCCAAACCGCAGCCGCTTCTGTCCCCAGGAAATCCCCCTCGGTCCGCGTCACCCCTGGGTACAGCTCACGCAGTCGCTCTCCTGCCCCGCGTCCGTTGCTTGTGCAGCAAACGGTGGTGCTGTCCTCATCCCTCAGTGAATTCCCTCGTGCCGATTTTTAAGCCCTTTTTATCTTCCAGGTAGGTAAGAGAAAAAAGAAAAAAAAATAAAATCCCAACTGGCTTTTCTCACCTCGATTTTTAAAGCTCTTCTCCATGTCGTTCTGCTTCTTCTGTAAGCTTTTTGCTTGCTTGGCTTTCCTAATCAATCTGGAATCATATTCTGTGATCATCTCTAAATTAAACGTGTAATGGGTTGTTTGGGTTTTTTTTGTTTTGCTTTTTTTTTTTAAATGTAACACATTTTTAAAGAATTAGGAAAAAGGAGATTTAGGTAACACCAGCAAAATTGTATAAGGAAATTTAATTCTGTTCTGAACTTTAGAAATAATAAGACAAAACCTATCATCAGCCTGCAGCGAGGAAGCGAAAACTTTGCAAACGTAACATTTTCAAAAGGATGTTTTAAATATTAATGTCTGAGTGATTGTATTAGAGCAGCAATAAAGACTCTGTAATCTCAAAACACAAATAAAACATTGGAAAACTCTTGTTTCTCCAGAGCGACCTCCGCGTCTGGCGGGAGAGCAGGGGGGGAATTTCGGGGGCTGGTGG